TTGTGATTGGCTGAACATATCCTCTAGGTGAAAATAGTAACTATAGTAACTAGCTATAGTATAGTGTAATGTGTAGACATTTTAATATGAGTGTAGTAGGAACCTCTGCAGCTTTATATCACCTTTCTTTTCTCCACCACAGTCCTCACCTGCACTTTTTAAAACTGTGTAAACTGTAAAACTATCTGAGGAAACAGTGATCGTATGTCCTCCATTAAAATGAGGTCAACTGCTCCTCCGGGCTGATGCTCCTGTTTGATGAATGACACACGAGGAAGAAGAACGAGGGAGAGGCAAGAGGAGGAAGGCTCTGAGTCTCCTGAATCTGCAGCAGAGAGGAAAGTTTGTGTGTAGGAGACAAACAGGAGTGAATGGAGAAGAGACAGGAGAAGAAAGAAGGTGAAGAAGAAAAGATTCAGTCAGAAGAGTTCAGCTTTTGATTCAGTGTTTGTAGCTGCTGTAAAAGCCTGAGGTGTTTTACTGAACTGCAGACCACTGTGAAGTCGACAGCATAGATAGATAAATACAGACAGAGCAGGAGAGGTGTTTACTGCAGCCAGCCTCTCTGTCACTATCTGCATTAAAGAAAAATCACTTCACTTCCTCTGGCTTCTTTTCCTCTTGTCACATCTATGAGACTGTGACTTTCTACATTCAGTTACTTCTCTGCAGAGCTGACCTGAAACACAGAGCATCCAGGAAGTCTTTAGACCCTTCAAAGAGTCTTCAGACCCTTCATAAAGTCTTCATACCCTTCAGAGAGTCTTCATAACCTTCAGAGTGTCTTCGGACCCTTGAGAGTGTCTTCAGACCCTTCATAAAGTCTTCATACCCTTCATAAAGTCTTCAGACCCTTCAAAGAGTCTCCAGACCCTTTATAAAATCGTCATACCCTTCATAAAGTCTAAAAAACCCTTCATGAAGTCTCTATACCCTTAAGAGAGTTTTCAGACCCTTCCTAGAGTTTCCAGACCCTTCACAAAGTCGTCAGATCCTTCAGAGAGTCTTTAGACTTCTTCATAAAGTCTTCAGACCCTTCAGAGAGTCTTCAGACCCTTCACTGTTTTCAGTTTACACTCAGTACTCCATGATGGGAAAGACAAGGAGGATTTAAGACACAAATACAGATTTATTAAAAAGTATTCAGACACTTCAGACCAGTCTTCTTCAGTCTTACGTCTCAACCTTTGCATACCTGGATTTGTGAATTTTCTTCGTTCTGCTCTGCAGATCGTCTCAGACTCTGTCAGGTTGATGTGGACTTTCAGAGGACAGATATTTTCAGGTAACTCTGGACCAGGTTTCCCCTGAGTCTGGACCAGACTCCCTGTCCCCCCACAGCCTGTTGATGCTGCCATTATGTTTCACTGTTGGGATGGTGTTGTTCAGGTGATGAGTGGTGCCTGGTTTCCTCAAGACATGATTCTTAGAACTGAGTCCAAACAGTTCACTCCTGGTCTCATCAGACCAGAGAATCTGGTTTCTCACAGTCTCAGAGTCTTTTAGCTGCTTTTTTTTTTTTTTTTTACAAAATATCACTGAGGAGAGGCTTTGTCTGGACACTGCCATAAAGCCAGATTGGTGGAGAGTGATAGTTTTTCTACTGGAGGTTTTTCTGGAGCTCAGAGAGACCATCAGGTTCTTGGTCCCCTCTCTTCTTCTTGATGTCTCAATCAGCTCTAGAATAACACCTTCATGTAAGAATGATAGCGTGCTCTTGAACCTTCAAAGTTTCTGTATCTTTCCTCAGATCTGAGTAGAGATGTAGTGTTTGGTTATGTCAGCTTCTCAACGGAAACAATGGTTTACTATCAGAAATGTCAGATGGTTTAAGTAACTGAAGCTAAATACAGTCACACAGTGGGAGGAGTTATTTCTGGCGCCTGTTGTCTCAGACAAGTTTAGATGACTCACAGTTACAACTCCTCTATAGACTGGATCAGCATGAAACTGTATTAGAAAATGTCTGGTTCTCTAATAAAAGTCAAAGGTACCAGTAAGTGTACATAAAGACTTTGATGTAAATGTTAGCTTCAACTTCCATGGTGCATTTTGGTGAGAAACATCCAATGACTGAGCTTAAAACTCTGTTAACGTGAGCCATTATCAGAGGGTGGAAGTTGAAGATGATGGTGTTGAGAAAATTGAAACTTACATCATGGTTCTGTTGCCTCTAAGAGGTCTTGTCTCAATGGTAATGGAGGCAGAGGCTCATGGATATTGTAGTATTTACACCCATCTGCCAAAATGATGGATACAAAGTAAAAAGTTGAAATGATTGAAACTAGTGGCCAGAACATGAATCTGTGGTATCTTTAAATTATCTAGGAGAGTCGACTCTTAGCTATAAGCTAACATCCAACTGCTACTGGGAAATGTAGTTCATGTACTAGCATTATAACATGCAGTGTCACTGTTCCCCAACACTGAGCAACACACAGTGTTAAAGTTTCATCCACACCTGTAGAAGAATTTGAACAGGAAGTTCACATTGGGTTTACTACAGGGCTGTTAGATCACACTGATGATAACACAAGAAAGTTAATACAAAGACAAGAAACAACATAAAGTTAGTTAAAAGTCAGAGAGTAAAGTAAATACAAAGAGAAGACAACATAAAGTCAGTTACTGGTCAGAGAGTAAAGTTAGTACAAAGAGAAGAAGCAACAAATAAAATCAGTTAATAGTCAGTAAACGTGTGTTTTAAATGTCAGAGACAGGAGCTCCATCACCTCCATGTTCAGTCCTTGATCTGTGGACAGACCAGAGTCTGACAGGGTGGTCTGGGGGCAGGACTTCACACACAACAGCAGAGCTGAGACCATTTAGTGGAGTGTAAACAAAGAAGATTTCAGCTTTAGTGTACAACAGGGAGGCAGCAGTCTCAGTGATGTGATGTCTGTGTTTGATCTGTTAAAAGTCGAGCTGCAGTGTTCAGGGATAATTAGAGTCTGGATGAAGAAACGTCAGGGTGGAACAAGAATACAACAACATGCAGTAATGAGTGTGAGGATAACTGTGGAGGTCACACACACATATATCCTGAGGTTTCACACAGTACACAACTGATTTTATCTTTTTATTAAACTTTATAAAATAATAATGTGGAGGAAGCTGAAGTCTGTAGTTAAAGCTGACACAGGGACACATCATATGACCATCATGACCATCGTTATCATCATCATTAGAGTCAGAAAAAACTTAATTGAACCCTGCAGGGAAACTGGTTTGTTACAGTTGGACACACACAACGAGGAAAGAGGAAGTAAATAGTTATGATAATAGATAGTGAGGGAAGGTGTGAGGTAGAGTCTCCAGGCCTCTTTCACAACAGCACACAGGAGGTCCAGGTTCAGGTCTCCACTTACTGAGTGAGAGTCTGGTCCAGGTGAAGTCCCTGGAGATCATGCAGAAAGCTCTGGGACATGGAGTCATGACATCCTTCCTAACCCTGTTGTCTCAGTGCTGCAGTTTTTTCTTATTTGCTTTGGGGGAAACACACACTCTGAAACTTTACTGTGTTTGCTAATTGTGTTATTTAAGCCCTTCCACATAGGTGGAAGGGCTCTGCCAACAGGAGACTCTGCTAATGACAACGCTCAGAGAGAAACCTGTGACAGATGTTGAACACAGTCAGTCAACATAGGTATGCAGCAGCATGGTGTACATTCTAAAGTAAAGGGACAAGAACCATAGTATTGATCATGTTAATGATCTGATTATGACCTCCCACAGTGGATGAAGAGAGAGGGGACAGGACTGGTGACAGATTACTACTAAATGACTTCATTTATACATCACAGTTCAGGGCGCAGAGGACAGTGATGAACAAAAATAATAAAATTGGTAAAATCTGCAGCAGCACAGTCAGTGAATCAGCTCCATTTAAATAATAGGAGGATGGAGGCTGTGGTGGTGGGTGGTGATGGACATTAACTAGTCCTCTGTTTGGCAGCAAACGATCAGCTGGTGTGGGATGTGAGTGAATGAGATGTATTTACAAAAGCTGAAGCGCTTTACAATTTTTTTCTTTATTTACCTTATTCATTCACACAGTGACATCAGTGTGTGTGTGAGGGGTTAAACTGTCAGGAGCATATTTTAGTTCAGTGGACAGGAGGAGCTGGGACCACATGTTCCTCTATGTTCCTGCCTTGTTTCATTTCAGGACTACGATACAGTTCAGTAGTCTCCTGGTGTCATTCATATTGTAAATTTACTGGAGTTCAGATTTAGCTTTACAAGGTGTTATTTGTGGTTTTGACTTGAAGTCAAGTTGAGGCCTCATCTCAGCTGACCATCATTAGAGACCCACAGTGTGATAATGTGGGACTGTTGTGTATTCAAAAGTTGGACTTTCTTTTAGCCTTTCTGTTTATGCATTCTGTTAGACTTTCTGTTTATGTATTCTGTTAGACTTTCTGTTTATGCATTTTGTTAGACTTTCTGTTAGATATTCTCTTAGCCTTTCTGTCGGACTTTTTGTTAGCCTTGCTGTTAGCCTTCTGATAGACTTTCGGTTACCCTTTATGTTAACTTTTCAGTTAGCCTTTCTGTTAGCCATTCTGTTAGACTTTCTGTTATCCTTTCTGTTTATGCATTCTGTTAAATTTTCTCTTAGCCTTTCTGTCAGACTTTTTGTTAGCCTTGCTGTTAACTTTTCTTTTAGCCTTTCTGTTAGTCATTCTGTTAGACTTTCTTTTAGCCTTTCTATTTATGCATTCTGATAGACTTTCGATTATACTTTCTGTTATCCTTTCTGCTAACCATTCTATTAGCCTTTCTATTAGCCTTTCTGTTAGACTTTCTGTTCACTTTGCTGTTAGCCTCTCTGTTAGCTATTCTGTTAGCCTTTCTGTTAGCTTGTTGGTCCTGTTCTGGAGATAGATAGATCACTATAAACTAAAACTTCCATCCTCAGGTCAGTTGAGCTCATGATCCACTGTCAGACAGTTATCACCTGCTTTGTAACCTTACTACTCTGTCTGTCTGTCATTCAGGAGGAGGCTGCCAAGCCAAAAATCCTTTCCTCACAGAGATTATCTCCAAAGTGGTGTTTCCTTGACTGTAAGTACATCACATTGTTCATCATTTACTCTCCTCACCTGGATCTGCAGGATTTTATGCACTGTCTCTGCTGCCACATGATTGGCTGACTGGATAATTGCATGAATAAGCAGGTGTTCCTAATAAAGTGCTCCTTCACTGTAGATTTAGCTACTTAGTCTGTCACTGTTTTTTTCATGAAATTAACTTGAAAGCAGCTTGAAACAAACAAACAAACAAATATCAAACAGTGACTGGGGTGTTTATTTACCTCACCTGCTGAAGGTAATAGGTGTTTATTTACCTCACTTGCAAAAGGTAACAGGTATTTATTTGATTTATAATTCCCCCCTTCATATATAGAACTGGACATATTTTTGTAAGAAGGCTTGTTTTGATCTGCTCCCATTTGCCCTCTTAAAGTTACTGTATTACACTGCTGATATAAACTCAACACTTCCTTTAACCATTCCAGTTAAGAAGCGTTTCAGCAGACAGAAACCCTTCATTTCTTAACAGGGTTTTATTGTGAAACAATTGCAGACATAGCATATACATCAACAACCAGACAGGATGAAAGGACAAATCAAAGTGGATCAGAATGAATGAATCAAATACTGAGTCATCTGGAACAACAGTGTTGATTAGTCTATATTGTTTTATAAATGGAATTAAAATATTATATTATAATTGTGCATTGTGCTCATCTTGCTTATTATATGACAAGCACCAGAAGTTTATTCACCCTAGTTTTACCCCCCACCTGTATTTGTTCATGTCAACCACTCCTCCCACAAATTTATATGATGTATATTATTTGACAGAGATGACCCACTGAAAACCTATGTATCATATACTATGAATAATTTCATAGAGGAAAAGGAGGTTTTTGTTGTTAAATAAGCTACAAATAAATCCTAATGTATTTCTAACTGTGATAATATCAGAGTAATTCTTTAAATTAACGACTTCACTCAGCCTGTATTAGACCATTGTATATAACACACTTGGACTTTAAACTGCCAGTTGAATCTATTACAGCAGTTTTAAATGCCATTCATCAGTTATGTTAATTCAACAGGCTAGGCTTATTTGAACTGACTCTGAGCACCTGAGTCTTTTTATTCCTGCAGTCAATTGAATCTATCATGAATCTTTTAAACTGTCACACAGATGTCTATGATAGACTCTCAGTCCTGCAGAGTCACATGTTTATTCCCTGTAAACATCAGTGACAACTGTCACAGTGTTTTTATCTGTCCTGTCAAAAATTCACAGTTTGAACAGAAGAGAGAAACATTTTTATTGAGAAATGACAACTTCTCCTGAGAGGACCCAACATCATCTGTAAACCCTCACATTACAGAGGAACACCACGTATAAAACTGTGATGATAAAGTCACTGTAAAAAACAAAAACACACACTGAGTAAAGAAAAGAAACACATTCTGATGCTGGAGAAAACTTTATGCATGAGCAGCGTTGCCCCCACAAACCTGACTCAAACTTTAAGTCACATTAAAATCATTTCTTTAAGAGTAGTGTTTTCCCTCAGGGAGGTCAGGGCAGGTCTGTTGTAGAAGCAGCATGGATCACCTGAAGGTACCTGCCTGGCCCAGAGACCTCTACCGACCTCTACAAACCTCTACAGGTCCCAAAGCTGCTTGATTACTGCACCACCACCTCAGTACAGTATCAGCTGGAGTCTAAATCACTTATTTCATTTAATTCTGAGTTCACATCATGATTTTTTTTAAATAAAGTTTCATCAAATCACCACAGAATAACTGATATAAACTCCAACAGCAGACATTGCTGCTCAAAAGTTTCAAGTGTCAGTTCACAGTTTTTAGATACATGATGTGATTGTGCAGAAACATCTGTTTATAAGAATTACATTTCTGGTAAATATGAGTTGTCTGGAGGCTATAGGACTGAAAATTTACTGATGAACTGTGATGAGGTTCATTGTATTAGCAGCTGAGAGGAGACAACCCACACAGATCACTGTCTCCGTAAACCCACCTCTTCAGTCTCAGTACCAACAGATACTGAAACACACAGGTAAAGACAGTCTCTTAACCCTGACTTGTTTAAAACCTGCAATCTTACTGTAACCAATAGCAACAATGGTCTAAAGGTTACAGGTTTAGACAGTAGGTTATAGTTGAAATTTCTGAGCTGGTTCTCCCTCAGAGTGAGAAAAGCATTATTCATCAGAATCTGTTTGTTGGTGAAAGTCATGAATATTAATATCATACGGCAGCTTACCAAAAATATCACAGAGAGAAACAGTTACACACACACATGCACGCACGCACGCACATATGCACACACACACACACACACACTCACTCTCTCTCTCTTTCTCTCTCTCCCTGGTCCTGGTGGAATTAGCAGAGAACTTGAATCAGGAAAAGATGCAGCTGCACAATGCTCAGTTAGTTTAAAGCACAGATGGTGTTTTTTCTCTGGCTGACTTCAGATTCAGTATTCACACAGGAAAAGGTCTGGTTTTACGACACCCCACAAGACCACGTATGAACCAGGTGTATGACTGGACCGTGGTCTAAGGGCTACACCTCCTTTTACAGGCAGGCACCACTTCACTGAGCCTGTAAATAAACGACTTTCTTTTGTATAATTATTACTAAAGGAGGCAGAGGAATAACTAAACATAAGACACTCCGAGCAGAGAGAGAGAGGGAGGGAGAGAGAGAAGCCAACGCTAACTGCTAAAGAAACGAGCAGATCTGTATAGCATGTAAACAACAGAAACACCAGCAACAGGAATGAGACAATACTCTAACTGCAGCAGAGGAATAAAAGTCCTGTAGGGGGGGGGGCATACACAAATGACCAAATGAGCAGTTGACAGCAGATTTTACTTTCAAAACCTATTTATTGGCTGGCCAGTTGAATATGCTTTTATCGCTACCATTGAACTTTTACAATATATATCTCAGCCATATACAATGCTAAGAAAAATAAATACCTTTGGTTTGTGAAAAATAAATGTTACTTCAACTCTAACCAGTTGAAAATGTAAAAAGTAAAAAATAACTAAAACAATAACATTAAATAAATAAAAATAATAAATAAACATATAAAGATCAGCTAGATGGGGCTGTAGAGTCAGTGGCAAAGTTTGCACCCAGGCTCAGAGCACTTGATTTTCAGCGTTATATAGTTTACACTCACATCACATCTGATTACAAGTGTGAACATTAAAATATTATTTTTTACCTAACCATCATCATTTACGAGTCAGTAAAAGGCTTATGATAGGCTACCTGACTAGCGTCTTCTTCATCTGTTGTCTTTCTCTTCTTAGAGAAGTATCTGAACAAGCTCATCTGAAAATGCAGTCAGCAGTTAATACATAATGACGTGTAGATATTAGCTTAATGCTATCAATTAGTTTACCCAAGTTAGCGTCACTGAGTTGGCTAATAAGTCTACCTCTTCTCCGGTAATTCGCTGCCTTATTCCTCACGACTACACTTCTCTGACTCTGACCTGGTACCTGACGTGATGTCACTTTCAAGGCCGCGCTCTCGCGAGTAATTAACTCCAATAGGATCCCCCAACCACCCCACTCCCTTCCTCCCCTCTCCTCCCCTCCCCCCGCTGTTGCGCTCATCATCACACAGGCTGTGCTGTGAAGGTGGAGAGATGTGGCGGTGGTGCACTTGCGACAATAAAAAAAAAAAAAAAAAAAAAAAGAAATTTGAAGGCGTGGCGGCTATGATTTAGCAGTGGCGGGTCGCCACTGCTAAATGAATGTAGAGGAAACACTGCAGTACTTTAAAACAACAGACAAGAGCGACTCAAAATGAAGCTTCGTACTAAAATACAGCTCTGACCAATTCTACATATCAAACAGAGGGAGTTAGACATAAACACCTGTTCCCTGCTGCAGGTAAATAAAGGCCCTGCCCACTACCTGAGGAATTACAGTAGATTAAAACAGTAGTCATCTGCTGTAAACACCCCCTGAGGATGTCATTGAAACTGTTCATGCCAAATCATTTTGAAAGAGCAATGATTAATGGGTTAAATTGACCTGAGCTCCACCTCCTCACGTCCAAATTACAAACAGAACAGAATCATGTGAAATTCAGTCAAAGTTTTCAACAGTTCATGTCTGAGTTAGCTAATAGCAGTATTTACTGAGCTGTGTTGCCATGGTGAAATAGTCATGTCCCCTCCCTTGTGATATCTGGTTATTTCAATTAGAGATACAATAATACAGTTCAGCCTCTCATTTACCACCACTGACTCATCATTGGTCAGATCAGCAGCTTCAGCAAGGATAGAGCCTCTGTATCTCCAGGACCACATGTTGCCATGGTGACACCCACAGGCTCACAAGGTGAAACAACACCAGTAACACTGTCTCAGCTAGTAAAGATTTAAATTAAGCTAAATTAGAGTGTTTTCATTAAATGACCTAGACTGAAGGTGAACTAATGAAACCAGAGCAGAGCCAGATCACACGTTTACACCACATCTACACCACACCTGTCATAGTCTAAGGTCTCTGCATGTACAGGTGTAAAATTATTTATTGTATGAGAAGCCAACTAATGAACAGTTTTATAATGACAAACCTTTAGTGACAACATTTCATTGGTTCATTGGTTTTCATTGGTTTGTGTTTGTATTTGCAGCTACAACAGCTGATCGTTTCTACAGGATAGACAGAGCACAGGTACGTCTGCCCCACCTGAGCTTTTGTATGATAATTAGTGAAGCTCCACCCACAGCTCAGTGCTGATGAACTAATTGTTCTTCTTCTGTCAGGAACATCTCAACTACGTCTCAGAAATCTCCCAGGAGGAGATTTTTATCCTGGACCCTGAGCTGGTTGTCATGACGACAGTAGGCACGTCCCCCTCATCCATTCCTGACCTGTTTAACTACGCCCCCAGCTTGGGAAACAACAGGTAAGTCAATGTCTCCACTGGTTGAACCTTCACCCTGAAGTGTTACGACTATAGCTCACCTGCAGCGTGGCCTGGAAGCAGGATACGATCATCATATGTTATATGTGGGCATGTCAGAGGATGTGACAATCATGACCAATCACATTGACCACCCTCAGGACCCTCGCCCTAAAGACTAACAGTTCTGCTCAGAGGAAACTGTAGGATTAAATACGAAAACATCAGCTCAGATACACATGATGAAGATCTTACTCACTCATCATCACCGTCTACTGTTCATGATACAGAGATGCTCCATCACCATCTGTGGTTGCACATGAAGGCAGAATAAATCATTAGAATATAAATGTCAGTGACATCACTGGGTCTGCTGGGTCTGATTGGTCGACAAATCTCTGCTTCACAGGAGCCTATAGAGCCTGTTAGAGGGTAAAGCCTGCATGAAGTGGAACTACATAATTCATACTGTGTGTGTGTGTGTGTGTGTGTGTGTGTGTGTGTGTGTGTGTGTGTGTGTGTGTGTGTGTGTGTGTAGGTGTATACATACAGCTCATCATCTTAAAGATCTTTCCTCCTCCTCATGTGAATCTGTAACCTGTTTATGAAAAAACTTCTGTTTGTCTGCAAACATCACTGACATAATAATCTAAAACAGTGTAAAGGAAGCACATGTAGGTTTAGTCCTTATACACCTGTAGACAGATGTTTATGGACATACCTGCACATACTCTGAGGACAGATGTGTTATATTGAGTATTCCATGTATTAATAATGTGGTGTGTTTTGTATGGAGCTGACTGAAGGTAAGTTTGGATGAAGTGATGTTTTCATTGTTGTTTAACCTTTCTTCACACAAAAAAGTTGTTAAAGTGTGTATGTGTGAATAGTGTGAAAGCTCCAGATTCTCTCCATGCAGACACACACACTTTAACTACTCAGCACTGTGTCAATAGTCATACTCTGTGTTCTCTGCAGAGCCTCATTCATGTCACACAGACATCATGGCACACATTAATGTTATGTAACACACCATCATATCTTACAGCCACCACAAAGCACAACACAAGTATTTTTGCTAGTTTCAGACTGAAACAATAACAAATACACTTGTGATCATAGTGTTAAAATGAGGTGTGGTCAGGTGAATTGTTAGGGTTAGAAGCTGGTCTGAAAGTGGCATAGTATTTCACTGTTATTTTAAGGTGCTTTATCCAGAGAGTGATATGCTTCTCTATTGGTGCACATCGTATGTACACTCAGGCAGAGTTTGGTGAAGATGAGCTCCAGGTGTCAGAGCACTATTTATGAGCACTAGGCTCTGCAGAGCAGCTTCTTGGTTACTACCTGGTAATTCCACCACAGTATATCCCATTCATCACCCCCCACCCCTCCAGCATTACTGTATGTTTGGCAGGGGTAGACAGTAGTGAAGTAGTTTTTCTTAAGTATTGTACTTAAGTACATTTTCCGCATATCTGTACTTTACTTGAGTATTCGTTTTTTTTGGGAAACTTATGACTTCTACTCCGCTACACTTAAAAGACAAATATTGTACTTTTGACTCCACTACATTTCTATGAAGTACTGAACTACTCTTACTTTAAAGCAGAGCTTTTAATCAGTGGAGTGAATTTTATTTTATTTTGAAAATGTGATTGACCATACACTGTGCTCATCACAGGAGAAAGATCAATCACAGGCAGTCATGTTTGGCATGTTTGAACCTGTCAGTGTCCTAATGATGGCGATGTTAGGTAAAGGTGAGGCAGAAGATTCTTCACCAGAGACCATGGTCTGATCTGAATCTGTGTTTGAAGGTTAAGAAATAAAGAAAGACTAATTTAGTTTGAAATGTTCGCTGTGTTTACCACCAACAATGGTTCCTCAGTTGTGTTTATATGGCCATTTCTACAGGCTTTATAGAATATTCTACAAGCTTTTTATTCTACAGGTTCTACAAGTAACTCAGTGTATTCAGTTGGTTATTTCAGAGTCATTCAGTTCTGTAAATAGACAATACAACAATGTGTTGACATAAAAAATATGTACTTTTGAATACTTAAGTATTTTTAAAATCAAGTACTCCTGTACTTTAACTCAAGTAAAATTTTGACTGGACAACTTTCACTTGTATTGGAGTAATATTTGATGAGGAGGATCTGTACTTTTACTCAAATATTGATGTTGGGTACTATGTCCACCTCTGATGTTTGGTGAGGGAAAGCCCTTCTAATGAGTCCTTCAACAAAGTCGGTCTGCCCTGGTGCCTCTTCCTCTTCAGTGATCTCACTGTTTAACTGGAGACTGATATTTACAAAGAGCTGTGAGGAGACTCAGCTGCACTGACTTTAACACAGACAGACTGAGGAGGTTACAATCTTTATTATCAGTGTCAAAGAAGAATAACCAATGACTAGAAAATTCCTGGAGAAATTTTGAATGTGCCTGCTACTTGGTGCGTGTACTAAACTCCTTTCGTTTCAATCTGTACATATGACGTTACTTTCAGTTTCATTCATGTCGTAGAGACTAATCCTGACACAGACCTCAGTCACTGCAGTTGTCCCTCAAAAAGCCTTTTGAAGCTGTCATGACTGGCCAAAATAACCTCACACTGATGGTTTCAAACCCAAATTTGTCCCCACTATCATAGCAAGACATGTATACACACATGTACATGCCCTAACAGAAGTTGATCTGCAATAACGCTATACCACTATATCCCCATATAGACGATAGCTTCTAAGATTGAAATTTTATAACCTACCTTCTGCCTGGTTACTGTGTTAGTAGCATCTGCTGAGACCTTAGACCTGCTGTTTGCTATCAGCTTCTGAATTTGTATTGCAGTCTATGGTAGAGCTGCTATGATGGTTAAACAGTTCCTATAGCTCGAAGCTCCAAGTAAATTCAGTGTGTCTGCTGCTTTAATTACTATTGTACTATCCAGTCTGAACTGTAATCTCTCTCTATGAGCACTAGCTGTTCATAACTACTAGCTGCGGGACTAGTTATGCGCCAAACTTCCATACGAAAGATGAATAAGACGAATAAGTATGCAGAAATAGTATATGCCTTTAATGCTATTGCATTGCAGGCACATAATAATAATATATGCCTTCAATGCTATTGCATTGCAGTCTGAAACAGTCATCATCACCATTGTCTACTATTATCTATGTACAGTTTGCGTTTGAGCCTGTGGGAGGGGCTTGGCTCACTCATACTCTGATTGGCCACACAGATCTGAGTCCACTGTGTGTGTGTGTGTGTGTGTGTGTGTGTGTGTGTGTGTGTGTGTGTGTGTGTGTGTGTGTGTGTGTGTGTGTGTGTGTGTAAATACATGAATAATATTTTCCACAGTTTGTTTTCCTTCTCAGAAACAGCCAAGTGTTACTATAACATTAGCTCTGGTTGTGTGTGTGTGGCACATATCCTCTGCCTCCATATTAAATCCTTTTAACCATATTCACACAGATTAATCCTCACCTACAGGAACCTGTTAGAGCAGCTGTTTGTTGGTGCTCTTTGACACAGAGAAGCTGATTCACAGAGGAAGAGGAGGAGGAGGAAGACTTTCTCTCTTCTCTCTAAGTCTGCTGATATTCTACATTTGCCTCATTGATCCTCAACAAGATCCAAACCAACAGTGTCTTAGCTTCATACTGTGACTTCCCTCTGTGTGTCTAATTTTTTTTTACTGGGATGAAAGTCTGTACAAACTCCTCACAGACATGTAGTTTAATATTTAGAGGCTCAGTTTCCTCAAACAGCTGCTCACTGTAGTTTTTAACAAATTTGGGGACTATTTTCAGCGGCGGATGAACCAAATTTGGTGTCACTCAGTGTCAGTGAGGTCCTCAGACACAGTGGAGCTCTGTGTCTCACTTAGTCCATATGCAAATATAATAAATGTAAATATATTGAATTTCCATATGGAATATATATTTTTATTTTATATATACATCTATATAAAACTTATATATGAAACCTATTAGAAATTAGAACAATTTCATATATTGACACACACACACACACACACACACACACACACACACACACACATATATATATATATATATATATATATACATATATATGCGTATATGCTTATATTGTAGGCAGATGTTACATTAATAGACACGTATATCCATCCCACAGCCTGTCAGTATGTGTTGATATTATAAACAGTAGAGTCTGAGACCAGTTTCCCAGAATGTGAAGTTAGACATGTTTAAAATTAGTTAGTTAACTAAACTCTACTAACAGTCTGAGGCTGTTTGCTTTAGGATCATGTCTCCTCAGTTTAATGATGTGAAAAACATGTTGAATATCCTCAGAACAATAGTGTTAGATGATGCTGATGTAAACCAATGTAAACAGACAGATTAACATTGAGAACAGAATAAACAAAGTAACAGGTACAATGTGAGAACAGCTGAACAACTCAACCTTCTGATCCTAATAACACTTCCTTTTGGCTGTGTGTGTGTGTCTGGTGTGTGTGTGTGTGTGTGTGTGTGTGTGTGTGTGTGTGTGTGTGTGTGTGTGTGTCTGTGCGTGTGTAAGTGTATGTGTGTGCACGTGTGTGCATGTGTGTTGGCGGTCTGATTTGCAATGCTGAGTGCAGCGAGTGGGAGGACGAGGAGGAGAGATGAGGCCGAGAGGCAGGGGCAGAGAGAGGGAGAGCTGGGTTTAGGATGGATGTAGAGAAATGAAATGCACTCGAGAGTCACGCCAATCTGCTGTACTGACACACACACACTCACACACTGTCTCACACAAACAGTGCAGCAGTTTGCCCACGCAGGGCAAGAGGTGAACGTTTTCCCTCCCACTATAATTACCTCTCTCTGCTTGGCCTCTCTCTCCCCCTGTGTCTCTGACAAACACTGAAATACACCTACACACAAAACATTTGTTTTTTTATGATGTTTGTACTGATGCTCTCACACAGTGTCAGTTTACACTGAGCAGCAGTTGAAACGTCACTTACAGAAGACTGATCATGTCAAAGTCACAAGAATCTAGAAGAAATTAAATCAGTGTATTTTCACTCTGTAAGGTTAAAATACTTGATTCATGCGTCAGAGTGAGACTGTCACTGTCACTTTATCTGCTGCTAGACCCTGAGTTGAGTTGTTATGTCGACCGCTCGAGATCGAGAATAAAATGTCATGTTAAACTTGAATCAGAATCTTGGAGGGGCTCAGAGTCATCAGCTCCATGGAAAACAACCTAACACTAAGCTAATTCTGCTGATGAAGACCATGTGATACAATCTGTACAAAGGACGTTACTTTCAGTTTCATTCATGTCGTAGAGACTTATACTGACACTGACCTCAGTCACTGCAGGTGTCCCTCAAAATACCTTTTGAAGCTGTCACGGCCAAGATGACCTCACACTGATGGTTTCAAAACCTAATTTGTCCCCACAACCATAGCAAGACATGTATACACACGTACATGCCCTAACAGAAGTTGATCTGCAATTAAGCTATATCACTATGTCCCCATTAAGCTATACCACTATGTCCATTTTGAGACTCTTATTTTGAAAGTGTCTGTGCTTCTGTGTTTGGCAGTATAAATTGCATAAGGTTTTGTACAACAGAGTCAATAATTCCCTCTTACCATGTTGATACTTTTATTTTGAAGGTTAATCCAATTCGTGGAGATGGTGTTTGTGTGTTTCTGTCTGTGTGTATGTGTGTGTGTTTTTGTGTGTAGCTGTAGAGCTCCCCAACAGAACCTCCAGTAAGTTCTTTTTACCTGGTTGAGACTCTTATTTGGAAGGTGAATATCAAAAAAGTAAGATGGTGTTTGTGTGTGTCTGTCAATGTGCGTGTGTGTATTGTGTGTGGCAGTAGAGCTGTACCATAGAGTCTCCAAAAAGCTTGTGATACCAGGTTGAGACACTTATACAGTTAGTATCCATATGATGGTGATAGAGTTTGTGTGTCTTTTAACCTTCAAGCAGCCCTTTGAAGTTGTCAGGACCGGCCAAAATGACCTCACAATAATGGTTTTTAACCAAAATTGTCCTCACAAGTAAAGAAAGACATGTATACACATGCGAAGAACCACATATCAACACGCACACACAAGTACACGCAAATACACCGTGTTGATTTTTTTTAGAGTTATTCTCATACCTGAGTTAAAACGCTAAGAATCAATTAGTTTAATTGGCCAATCAGAATCAACTTTGCCCATTTCTGCCAAGTAACACCTGCTCCTGAATTTGTATTGCAGTCAATTGGAGAGGTGGAAGGATACTGCATTTGTAACACTTGCTTGTTATGTGCGTGTGCGTGTCTGTGTGTGTGTGTGTGTGTGTGTGTGTGTGTGCGTGTTTATGTGGCTGTGTTTGTGGCTGTGTTTGTAAACATCACAGAGATCAAAGAGCTTCTTAACGATCTGGTTCGAACATCTGGAGACACAGAACTGACACAGATCTGAGTGATTTGGGCTCGGTGAGCCTCTAAAACGACTGCTATCTGTGAAAAAACAGTAACTCCTATCAGAACCATGAGTGGACCATGACTGGCACAAGACACAATTGGTTGATTTCATTGCTGTTCTCACCAGGGAACTGATATATATGACCATCTAAAGATATACAATTAATAATTAATTTAATACATTATTATTATCACCCTATAATATGTTTTCCCCCTCCATCCCCATTTCCAAATGTAACACAGTAACACTTTTACTCAGAAACATTTTGACTTGGTTCTTTCATCTGAGAACATTTTTATACTTGTTTTGCTCTAGCACTGCTCCTTTTAGGAACTTTCACTAACTCAGTAGTTGTTTACATGCTATTCAGATCTGCTAGTTACTTTAGCTTAGCAGTTAGCACTAGCTTCTCTCTCTCTCCCTCTCTGTCCCTCGCTTGGTGTGGTGTTATAACTTCAGTGTAGAGGATTGTGATATTTATTACATCTTCAGCGATGTCTGCTGTCTTTAAGCACAGCTACACTCGCTAACCGTAGCTAACTGCCCACTCTAACTGCCATCCTTGAAAATTTTCCTCCAAAAAAGTCAGACAAGCTCTTTTAAATCCCACAATTTCCACCCTTCATTGACAATTTTTATATCAAAACTTAGATTGTTTTTGTCCAGTATGACCCAGTTTGGGTCTCATTCTGATATCTTTTACAGTTTTTGAGGAAGTGATGGGAGTACCCTCCACCTCTCCCATTGGCTGCAAAACAAATTCAGGAGCAGGTGTTACTGTGCAGAAATGGGCAAAGCTGATTCTGATTGGCTAATTAAACTAATTAATTCTTAGCCTTTTAACTCAGGTATGAGAGCAAATAAAAAAATCAACACAGTGTATTTGCGTGTAATTGATGTGTGGTTCTTTGCATGTGTGTTCACATCTTTCAATAATTGTGAGGACAATTTTGGTTAAAAAACATTATTGTGAGGTAATTTTGGCCAGTCCTGACAACTTCAAAGGGCTGCTTGAAGGTTAAGTTTACGCAGTTCCCAACACCATGTACACATTTACATTGAAAGACACAAACACTCCACCATCAACATATGGATATTAACTGTATAAGTGTCTCAACCGGTAACACATGCTTTTTGGAGGCTCTTTGGTAGACAGCTGTACTGCCACACACAACAATACACACGCACATAGACAGACACACACAAACAACATCTTACTTTTTTGATATACACCTTCAAAATAAGAGTCTCAACCAGGTAAAAAGAACTCACTGGAGGTTCTGTTGGGCAGCTCTACCGCTACACACACACACACACACACACACACACACACACACACACATATTGACAGAAACACACAAACACCCGTGTACATACATGTCTTGCTATGGTTGTGGGGACAAATTTGGGTTTGAAACCATCAGTGTGAGGTTATTTTGGCCAGTCGTGACAGCTTCAAAAGGCTTTTTGAGGGACACCTGCAGTGACTGAGGTCAGTGTCAGGATAAGTCTCTACGACATGAATGAAACTGAAAGTAACGACCTTTGTACAGATTGAAACATGAGGAGTGAAGTACACGTACCAAGCAGCAGGCACAGTCACAATTTCTATAGGAATTTTCTAGTTATTAATATTATTGGAATGTTGCATCCTGCAGCCTTCTGTTGGCTCCATATAAAAATTGTAGTGGATCCGTTCAGCAGCAGCAGAAAAGATGTAGCTACCACACTGTAGCTACCATACTGTAGCTATCATAATGCAGGTTCAACACTGAAGGTACCACACTATAGCTACCACAATGTAACTATCACAATGTAGGTACAACACTGTAGCTACCACACCGTAGCTACCACACCGTAGCTACCACACTGTAGCTACCACACTGTAGGTACTGTAGGTACACTGTCCTAACTGTCCTAACTGTCCTTGCTGCACTCGGTTTCTTCATGCATTGAAGATTGAGAGAGAATTTCACGAACCTTCCTCCTGCTCTGTCTTCAGCCTGTCCTGCATTAATACCCTTCAAAATGCTTCTCTTTCTTTTCATCTACCAGTGCCTTTATCTCATCATGCTCATTATCTTAGTGTTCAGCTTGTTGATTCTTTATCTATAAATGATCCAAACTTACCAGATAAGTGACTGCAGAGAGGTCACACAAAGGTTATGGCTCATAGTTCTAGACCAACATGCATCACTACAGTGGTTCTGCACTTCAGTCATCATTTCATTGTAAGTGCATGAAGTGAATGAACAGACTCCATGGTTCACATTCTCTACAGAACATCTCCATGCCTTCACACCCGGAGCTGTGTGACTATCTGGCCTCAGTGGAGGGAACATTTATTCCTGTCTGTCTCTGATCTGGCTGCAGTTTGCTCTCTGACTGTGTTTCCTCTGTGTTCTCCTGTAGTTCCTCCCAGAGGCAGCGAGTGAACAGTGACAGCTCTGCAGCTGAAGCCTTAACACACAACACAACACCTGTGACCAGCAAACTCAGCAGGTTAGTATGATCTCAGATTGTCACACTCTGTACTGTGTGTCCTCATATGTTCAAGCTGCTGGTTGTATCTTCTTTGCTTTTATCAGTGAAAATAAGATACAAGTACAAACACACTAACAAATATATATAATATAATAACATATGTAATGGCACACAATGGTTAGCAGACAAGTGTAGGATGAAACTGTGATGTTGTATTGAGATAGGGTGGGAGGAGGAGGGCAATAGATTGTATGTGGTTAAGTGTGTCCCATGGTTGTGTCAAACACATTTTAATAACTTCATTGGCTTCAGAAGGTATTCAGAACCCTGATCTAACCCTATGATTAGTGCTAGGATTAGTCCTGTAAGTCGGCCTATGATTGGTCCTATGATTAGCCCTACGATTGGTCTTATGATTAGTTCTATGATTAGTCCTATTTACTCCTATGATTAGTCCCATGATCTAACCCCATGATTAGGCCTATGATTAGGCCCATGATCTAACACCATGATTAGTCCTATGATTAGGCCCATGATCTAATTCTATGATTAGTCTTATGATCTAGACCTATGATTGGTCTATGATTAGTCTTATGATCTAGTCCTATGATATAGTCCTATGATTGGTCCTATTATTGCCCTACAATTAGTCCTATGAATAGTCCTGTGATTAGTCCAATGATCTAACCCTATGATTAGTCCTATGATCTAGTCCTATTATTGGTCCCATGATCTAATCCTTTGATTAGTCTTATAATTAGTCCTATGACCTAACCCTATGAGTAATCCTACAATTGGTCTTATGACTAGTCCCATGATCTAACCCTGTTAGTCCTGAGATTGGTCCTGTGATTACTCTTATGATTAGTCCAATGGCCTAACCCTATGATGAGTCTTTCCTGACTTCTATACCCTAAATTCTTCCCAGCTCAATGTTCTGAAACTCAATATAGTTCACAGTTGAATTACCAGTCAGCTGAGAGAAAGTGTGGGATTTTGTGGAGACTACAGAATTATATAAGAAAATCAAGGACAGTGACTTCAAAGATCCATGTTGTTTAAAGTGTGACTATAGACATAAACATACACAAACACCATAGGATCAACACAGACCAGGATCAATGAGGTGCAGCCTAGTACGATTTGAAATAGAGGCTGAATACACTATTAGTGTGAAGAATATAGAATCAGCAGGTCTTTGGAGCTTCAGTTAACACATGAGCTCCTCTCATTCCCTATGAAAGCACTAATGGATGGAGAGAGGCTGAGGTCTCTGAGAGTTGTGCAAATTATTAGGTTACAGGGAAATTAAATATGAATCTTCATTTATCCAGTGGAAAAATAAAAATAAAACATCCCTTATATCTTTAAACAAACAATTATAAAATAGGCTTTGGTTTAGGCTCATTACTATTTAGAAAAACGCCTGAGGTCAGTGAACATTAAATCGAGAGGTTTAAATAGTTAATGAAGGAATCCACGGTGCCAACAGAGAGTACAGCAGAGGGGGTAAACATAATCCTCTGAAATTATAGAGGCTATTCCTGCCTGCAACCTGCACTGTCAGTGTATTTTTATTTCTTATCATTCATTAGCTCTTGGTGCTGTGCAGTGTCCTGCATCCTGAGCTTTAGCTTTCACTGTCCAGGTGCAGCTTTGTGCTCATATTTCATTATGTCTCAGCTCAGGTCTGATATCACCTGGTTGAGTCAGGTGTGGAGTTAGAGATAAGTGCAGGTAACAGATAAGGTCAGGTGGAGCTTTGCTGGTCCATGTTTGAACTTGTTCCTCACATGTTTTATTTAGGATGTTTTATATGAGGGATCAATATGGTGTTGCTTACTATGTGGATGTGCTTATACGAGTGCAAATGACAAAATGGAAAACTGGCTGTAAAAATTTTTTCCACATGATTGAAGAAATACTGTGACTCAGAGTTTGGACTTTGATGAAGCAGTTCTGACATTGTAGACGGAGCTCAGGACTCAGTCTGAGGTCAGCTGTATTATTCCAGATGTTTCCTGTGACATTCACCATCACATTTTTATAAACTGATAATACAACAATGTGTTTTCTGTTTGTTCTACTGCCCTGTGAATCAGTTAATGCAGCTTTAAATCGATCATTAATCAAAATACTGCTTCAGTCATTTCATTGAGTCAGTTACTGTTGTACCAAGCTAAGGCTAATGTCCATGATGCTGTAAGTGACAATAAGAGCTGTCACCACATGTAAACATAAACAGTACATGAGTTATCTGGTCATACTCTGAGGTGTTAGACTCTCAGTGACTCTCAGACACCTGTTAGACCTGTTTCAGCTGTTACACATGTAATGGCTCAGAGATAATACTTGTTGTGAGCCCTTGTGTTTTATATTTGTTATCACTGAATGATGTTATCATGTGCTCCATGTTTGTCATTGTGTTTCACTGGTCTGTGCGTTACAGGGCCGGTTGTATCCATCGCTCTAACACCACTGCAGCTGATTTCAAACCAAGACTGAGGTCAGTAAACGTGTTTAAATTATAAAGTTATTTATACTCGAGAGAAAGTGAAGCTTTTATTTATCAGTAGAGTCAGTATCACATAATAATACAATTATACACTGAGGTCACATAGGTCCAGTTCCTACTGTGTCTCTACTGTGTTTCTACTGTGTCTCTGCTGTTTCTACTGTGTCTCTACTGTGTCTCTGCTGCGTCTCTACTGTGTTTCTACTGTGTCTCTGCTGTTTCTACTGTGTCTCTACTGTGTCTCTGCTGCGTCTCTACTGTGTTTCTACTGTGTCTCTGCTGTTTCTACTGTGTCTCTACTGTGTCTCTGCTGCGTCTCTACTGTGTTTCTACTGTGTCTCTGCTGTTTCTTCTGTGTCTCTAGTGTGTCTCTACTGTGTCTCTGTTGTGTTTCTACTGTCTCTACTGTGTTTCGTCTGTCTCTACTATATTTTGTACTGTCTCTACTGTGTTTCTTCTGTCTCTACTGTGTTTCTGCTGTGTATCTACTGTGTTCCTACTGTCTCTACTGTGTTTCTTCTGTCTTTACTGTGTTTCTGCTGTGTATCTACTGTGTTTCTACTGACTTTACTGTGTTTCTACTATGGTAGGAAGTTAGATACAGATCTGCTCAGACTTATATTCATTAACAAGTAAAGTTCTTTTGATTCTGACAGTTTCAGTCTCTCGTCATAGTTCTCTGCTCATTAAAGTAAAATTCTTCTCTGCTCATTAAAACACCACCACTCTGACAAATGACTACATGTAGGCCAGTCCTGTGTGTGCGTGCGTGCGTGCGTGCGTGCGTGCGTTCATGTGTGTGTGTGCGTGGGTGTGAGGTCACATGTCCACTCAGATAAATGTCTCTCTGTGTGTTTTATCTCCAAATGTTAATTCAAACAGTGAGAAGTTCTACTTCATTTAATGTAACCAGCTATAAAACATATAAATACAGTAATATTTATATGTTTATTATATGGGTATAAAATGTGTGTATTGGTTTGATCTATTTGATCTGTAGTAAAGAGTGTGAACTGCTTCACAGTGAAACACAGGAGGTCATTTAATTTCTCATTAGTTTATAATGACCAGTTTTTCTAACCCAACATCAGTGAATATAAATTCAAACTACAGTAGAGAGGATAATTATGATTATACTGTATTATTATGGAATGAATTATAATCTCTCTGTCATGTGAACCATAAGTTATTATATAGAGGTTCAGTGACCTCACAGTTACTGACGTCACTCTAACAGGTTGGGGGTCGACTTGTTTCCAGTCTGGTGGTTTGATGGAGGTAATATTAGAAAGCCTAACCTCCTCATGACTCCACTGGTTTTTAATTGACATCCTGTTAGCTGGCTTGCTAATGTTAGCCAGCAGTGACATGGAGTCACATATAGCAGTGTGTGGAGTCAACCCATCTAGACCTGATCACTGCAGCAGCACCACAACCTCCCAACCTCAGAACCTGGGGGACAGATCTCTCTCCATTTCTTCTGAGTACTCTCTTGCCACCCTCCCCAGCTTTAAAAAAGTGATTTAAAGTACCCAGCTTATAGTCCAGCCAGTCTGACAAAACCCTGGATCCATGGACCTGCTCACACCAACATCTGTAACACTCAGCTGCATCACGTCCTCACTGCGTCTTGAGTGCATTCACACCTGAACTTAGAACTTTCCATCTATGATCAGATGACCTGAGATGGATGTCTGGTCTGAACAGGACTGAACAGAACTGAACAGGTCTGAACTGGTCTGAACAGGACTGAACAGGACTGAAAAGGTCTGAAAAGGTCTGAACTGGTCTGAACAGGACTGTACGGGACTGAACTGGTCTGAACAGGACTGAACAGGTCTGAAACATCCTCTGTGTGTGTCTCTGTCTCCAGACAGGAAAAGAGCCAGAAGACGAGTGAAGCAGAAAGAGAGAGAGAGAGAGAACAAGGTGACACACACACACACACACACACACACACACTTACACTGTTGTATGTATCCTCAGTTTAAAACTTAAAATGGTCTCACAAAGATAGTAATACAAGCTGCAGTGTGTGTGTGTGTGTGTGTGTGTGTGTGTGAAAGTGTGTGTTTGTGTGTGTGAGGGGGGTGGAGGATGAGACAAAGACATAAGACAGTTCTCTGACACTTTTTCTCCACCTGTCTACTCGCAGTCACTTTGCATGCTGGGAGTTTGTGTGAGGGGGCTACAGCTTTGTTTCTGTCAGCTTCACTGTTGTGTTGTTCTCTTGTATCAGGTTCAGTTGTGTTTCTTTGTCTATGTTTGAGTCCAGTTCCTGCTGCCAGTGATTAAATCAGCAGCTGATACACGAGCACTCCTATTTTAAAATTTCTGTTATAGCAGCTGATGAAAAGGAACACTGTCACATGACTAAAAGGTTTATGACAGGACCAGAAACAGGAGCAGTCAGACATGATAGAGATAGACCATGTTCTCATTCTGAACCACCAGCACCAGCAGAGCTCAGACCTTCAGCCACTCTGTGTGGGACTGTGGAGCCCAGAGTAGACCACATGGTGTTCAGGTAGACAGACAGGTGGAAGGACAGGTACAGACAGGTGGATGGTTCACTCATGTGGTGGAAACTAGCTGGTAGATGCTACAGAGCCTCATCTGTTTGTGGAGCGACGTCAGTCTGCTGTCAGTCACACAACAGTGACACAAAGATGTTTAAATGTAAAAAGTCAGTAGATGATGATTGTAATGCTGCAGGTCTCTGAGGCTGTTCAGCTGGAGACTGTCCTGGGACTTCACTGTGATTGGCTGTTTCAGAGCAAGGAGACCTGTGATATGATTGGCTGCAAGTATTTATAAATCATTTTACACTGCTGCACCTACATGAACCAAAACAGACAGCAGACAGGCCGCCACAGTCCTTGTATCCAAGACCACTTTGCAGTAGTCACTGTCCAGAGTCTTGGTTTTTTACCAAATGTAGACCTGAATAATGAAGACCTTCAGACCAGATCTGACTCAGGACCCTCTAGACATTATCATCCTCATCACCAGGTGATCTCTGTTGTCTTGGGTCTGCTTTTATTTACTGTATATTCAGTGGTGTTAACAAACATTTGCTACAATACTGTAAACATGGGGCCTCTGTGAGGGTCTGAAGCTGGTCTGGACTCAGCAGTCCATGGTCTGTCTGAGTCCTGGAAACAGACAACAGGAGGAAACATGATGGCAGACTACAGCTCATGTTAGCTTCAGCTGAACTTTAAAATTAATCAATAAATGAATGAATGAATGAATGACTGTTTTCATTCATTTGCATAATTCGTTTTGAAAAGAATCAGATTTATTCAAGGAATCATTTAAATTCAGAACACACACACACACACACACACACACACACACACACACACACACACACACACAGACAGACAGACAGATGTACCACATGTCACTTGCTCCATTGAACTCCTCAGTTTGATGCAGTCAACCTGTCTGACCCTTGTGGGAGCTGTGTGTGTGGTTTGTGTGTGTGTGTGTGTGTGTGTGTGTGTGTGTGTGTGTGTGTGAGAGAGAGAGAGAGAGAGAGAGAGAGAGAGTGAGGGAGGAAAGTTGTGCCTAATTTAAGTTTGTGACAGACAGAAAGAGAGACTGGTCTATGAACTGCTCCTATGGTTTTATAAACTCTCTCCTCCTCCTCCTCCTCCTCCTCCTCCACCTCCTCTCATGTCTTAAGACTCCCTCTCATTTTCTCTGGTTAGTTTAATTCCCTCCCTGGGCTAAATTCATTTAATTCCTACATTCAGAGTGTGTGTTGGGTTTTGTCGTGTGTGTGTTGTTTTTGATTTGTCTTGCAGCCACAAAAGCTCTTAGAGGTTTTTTGAAGTCCCACCCCCCCCCCCTCTCTTTCTCACACACACACACACACACACACACACACACACACACACACACACACACACACACTCACACTAAGCCTAACGTAACTGGATTAGGACTTGACTATTTAGAGGCAGACGGAGTGAGAGCGAGTATTGAGGTCAACCTAATAAACATTCATCTCATAGTCAGCCTGCTGCAGTCGAACATTCAGCCTGTCAGTGACATGAACAGTGTGTGATGAAGACATTATTATAATGATGTTTTTATAGAGAGGTGTTTTTAAACCAACCTCAGTGACATGAAACATATCAATGTAACTCCACAAACATCACACAGGTTAATCAACACCTGTGAACCAGCTTTATGAAGGAGGAGTCACCACAGACTGTCGTATCACACTGACTCAGTCTGAGCTGGGTGTTCCTAATAGACTGATAACTGAGTTTCTACATTATATACACTTCAGTTTCCCATAGGCTACATTAAACTTTCTCTCTAAAGCTATGCTGGCTCCTTATTCTTCTTCCATATGTTTTTCAGTCGCTAACTGCTGCTTCATACTTTGTGCTACAGAAACGATTCAGCTATCAAAATGGTCAGCTTCTTCATTTTTTCTTTTTTTCAACAGCTATAACTGTATACTTAAGATATGCATCTTTTTGTACAATTTTATCCCCTAGAAATGAATGGAGCCCATGTTCAAGTCCTCAAAAACTCTCCTCTTTGAACTTCAATAATGTCAGCATACTTTCACCTAGAGACATCATTTAACCTTTAAAGTGATCCCAAGGGTTTCAGCTATTAAACTTGTTTTCAGCAACAAATTTCTTTTCTTTCCAGAATGTAGGAAAATTTGTCTTCTTTCAGATGATGTGTTTACCAAAGCACAGAGACTTACAGAATTTTAACTAGCAGCCTCTGAGTGATTGGAGCACCATCCAACTGTTCCATAGACTGCAATGCAAATTCAGAAGCAGATTTTCAGAGTAAAACAGAAAAACATTTTTGACTCTAGGGACACACTTACATGCAAAGGCATGTGCAGGAAGGTCTTGTGGTGCTGAAGGTGTAAAAACTTTGCTGATATGACATATGTTTTTTTGTTAAATGGCAAGAGTTCAAGAGGTGCGCTTAGCCATTTCTCCCTTAGCTTAGTCTCAGCTCAGAGGCTCAGCTTGTGAACAGGCAAGGCAGATAAACAGTCATCATTATTATTGTTAATCTAAACTAAACTGACTGTAACTACATTTGTAATTAGTTATTTTTTCAAGCAGCTCTTCAATCTGCATCTAAATCTAACACTCTAATATTAAAACACAGTTTTATGCAGGCTGTTGCTTAGACTGTGTAACTGTATCATGAATAGAGCCCTGGAATAAATTCACTCAAGAAATCAAACTCAGATAGTAAAGTTAAGTCATTTAGAATAAAAACAATGGGGATCAGTGATTGATTATTAGGTACGCCCATTCACAATTCATTCACGTCTCTGTCTGGCTGCTGATTGGTTGACTGAACGTGCTGTCACCCACAGTCAGAGCCACATCAGAGCTCATTCATTGAGAAGAAGAGGAGATAAGGTCTGTCCAAGAAGTCATAGATATGTCCCATACCTACATACATATATATATATATATATATATATACAGTCACCGGTAGCGACGGCAGCAGATTGCAGCAATCACACGCAAAAAAGTTTTATTATTATTATTTTACTGGTAACTGAATCCACTTTCCTGCTATATACAGGAACAAGCAGTCATGTTGAACCTCAGTGAGCGCAAACACTTGCTCCACCCTGTGAGACACTGACAGACTCTGTTGTTACAGATGGACACACTGAGATGTAGTTGATGGCTCTGTCCTTCAGTGGTGGAACTGCTGCTTCAGTTTCATCAGTAAATATGAAGTATGTGTAGGTTATTCACTCCATCTTTTATTCAGTTCATATACTTCAGTATAACATCAATTATAATATTATGGGACCATCAACATGAGACACAGATACAGTAGAATTAAACGAGAAACAGTGCAAATAAACAGCTTCTGCAAACTTTAATAAATATATATATATAAATACAGTCACTGCTCTCATTAACAGATAAAGAAACACACACCATCGGCCTCTGGCTGCTGTGTGTGTGTGTGTGTGTGTGTGTGTGTGTGTGTGTGTGTGTGTGTGTGTGTGTGTGTGTGTGTGTGTGTGTGTGTGTGTGTGTGTGTGTATATATGTGTGTGTGTGTGTGTGTGTGTGTGTGTGTATATGTATGTGTGTCTGTGTGTGTCTGTGTGTCTGTGTGTTTTCACGCTGTGCTGCTCTCCACCATCTAGATAATAATTATCAGTTGACACCATGATAAGAAAAATTTATAAAACGAGTGAAAACAGACGAATGTGAGATTCACTGTGTCAGTAATAAGAACTGATCTCTGCCTCTTTTTTCCTGATTCATCCATTGGAAACACAAAAAGCAGACACATGAAACCACATGTTTATCTCCATGACGACAGGAGTTTGTGTCGACTCTGAGACATCCTGATGCTCTCTCTCTCTCTCTCTCTCTCTCTCTCTCTCTCTCTCTCTATCTCTCTCTCAGAGGTGTTGATCGAGTGTGTGAAGAACAAAGACTTAAAGAAGGTGAGTACCACTGTCATTAATCCATCATCAATGTTTCAGTATCATTCATCACAGATGTGGTCAGTCACTGTTCACTTACTCAGCAGAAGAAAGCTTAAGGTAGACACTGGCTGCTGAACATCTGGATACAGAGCCAGATGTTCTCAGAAGTTAAAAGCTGAAAATCAGGGGGACACAAAAATGACATCACATGAATACTAATGTTGCTAATGCTAATGTTGCTCTATGCCCGCTGATGTGTAGACTGAGACTGTTTGTCAGCACACATAAAGTTTATGAGGTCAAAGGTCACACATTGTTTTTTCATTTTTAACTGCTGCAGCTTTACGGCAGAAGATGTTTCTGTTAATATGTGTACCAGTCAGTTAAAAAGTTGTTTTCCTCTTTAAATGTGTTTGATTAAAAGCTGCAGGAGCTGCACCTGAAGGGGGCAGACCTCACTGTTCTGGACCAATCAGACTGCAGTTTGTTGCACCATGCTGTCAGTACAGGAAGCAAAGAGATGGTCCGCTACATTCTTGACAACGGTAACTCAGGGAACCAAGCATCCATCACAGTTTACCATCTAACCATAATTTTAAAATGACATTACATTCAGTCTGATTCTAGTAGAGAACAGAAACAGACAGATGTTTGATTGAAAAGAGACAGATGTTTGAAAACAGATGTTTGATTAAAAAGAGAGATATGTTTGATTGAAAACTGACAGATGTTGATTGAAATCAGACATGTTTAATTGTAAACAGAATTTTTTTAAAAAATAAAACAGATGTTTTAAAGAAAACAGATGTGATTGCAAACAGACAGATGTTTAATTGCGAACAGATGTTTTATAGAACACTTGTTTAATTGAAAACAGATGTTTGAAAACAGATGTTTGATTAAACAAAAGATGTCAGTCAGTCATCCTCAGCTCTGATGTGTCTGTAGTCACCTCCTTTCCTCTGTCTTCCAGCTCCTAATGACCTGCTGGATGTCACAGAAAAACAGCAGTAAGTACAGTCACACTGTTGTCATGGAAACCACTCAACAATATTATAATGACTATAATTAATTATAAAGTAATTTATTATAAATATAAATAAAGTTATAAAGGGGTTACAGTCACATTTTGTTCTGTAATAATGATTAAATTAGTTTTGTGGACTTATTGCAGAGACACAGTCCGGCTGAGAAACTTTGGCCTGTGTCTGCAGCACCTTTGATACTGGTTAGTGGTCTTGGTCTGTCTGTGTGCTGGACTTCAGAACAAGAACCATATGATAAAGAGAATAAACTTAAAGCAAACAGAGGCAGTGGAGAGTCTGAACATCAGAGGTGCTGGACTCCCAGAAGACAAGAGATGCTGTTGGCTAATGGTTTCTCTTTCTCTCTGTACCCTGTGTCTCTGGACCTGGACCAGTGGGGAGACAGTTCTTCATCAAGCTGCATCTCTGTGCCACAGGACCATCTGTCATTACCTGGTAGAAGCAGGAGCCTCACTGATGAAAACAGACCTGCAGGTAGGTTCCTTACTCACCTGTGCAGGTGTGTAGTCCAACATTTACATCACTACAACCTCTGTGATGATGTTGTTATGGAGACCTTTGTACAGTGTTGGTGAGATCATTAGGTGGGTCCATCAGGTCCATCAGTCTATGGTCAATCTTTGTGAGACCATTTTAAGTTTTAAACTGAGGACACGTATAGCAGTGTGTGTGTGTGTGTGTGTGTGTATGTGTGTGTATGTGTGTGTGTGTGTGTGTACGTGCGTGGGTACTTGCGTGGGTGTGCGTGTGCTTGTAGTGTGTGCGTGTGTGTGCATGTGTGTGTGTGTTCAGTTTTACATGGAGGTTTCAACCATGTAGAAAAGCTCCTCACTGTCTGGACTCAGCAGTGACCTAGATTCAGAGAGGAGAAGACAGAGACAAAGACTGTGGTTTGACATTCACTATAAATCTCTCTCTCTCTCTCTCTCTCTCCCTCTCTCCCTCTCGCTCCCTCTCTCTGTCCCTCTGTCTGTATGTGTGTGTGTGTGTGTGTGTGTGTGTGTGTGAGAGGTGTAAACTGGAGGTTGTAGCACCAGTTGTGTTGTGTTACTGGTCTTAAATAAAGCTCAGCTCCCTCTCTCTGTCTCTCTCTCTCTCTCTGTGTCTCTGTGGGAGTGTTTCCAATTCAGCTCAAAGACACACACACACACACACACACGCACACACACACACACACACACTGGACTCAACTAATTAGAGTCTGCTCTAAATTCTGGAAGTGAGTCAGTGGCTCCTTCCCCATAGATACATGTGTTGTGTTGTGTCATTTTGTGTTGTTTTGTGTTGTGTTGTATCATTTTGTATTGTGTTGTGTCATTTTGTATTGTGTGGGGGAGTCGTTTTCTGTTGTGTTGTGCAATTTTGTGTTCTGTCATTTTCTGTTGTGCCGTTTTGTGTTGTGTTGTTGTTTTGCGTTGTTTTGTTTGTGTTGTGTCGTGTTGCTTTGGGTTGTGTCATATTGTGTTGTTTTGCATCGTTTTGTGTTGTGTTTGGAGTTTGTGCTTGTTCACAGTTCAGCCCGTAACAACACACAGTGTAACGTCATTCAGCATTTTATTAGGAACACCTGTACACCTGCTAACTCACTCAGCAGACAGGAGCATGAATGTGATGCAGTCAGGTCAACATGGAGCAGAGTCTCAGAGGAAAGTTTCAACATGACATGAAGAACTGAGGAACTACCCAATGTTAGTTTGTTGTTCCTAATAAAGTGATCACTGACTGGAGATAGAACAATCAGACTAATGATAGTTTTGTTTGCAGTCAGTTGAAAAGCTGCACACAGTTTTCTTTTCCACACTGAGTTAACTACAGCTTTGTTTTACCCAGTGGCAGCAATTAAAAGTGATGATGGTGGAACGACTTGATAATTATGTTCATTTTCTATGGGAGCGTTTGTTTCTCAGGGCTGTGGATGATGTGTCAAAACACCCACCCCTGTTGTTTCTACACATCCTGATCGAGCAGCAGTTCTGTCATAGATTGGCTCCTCTCAGCCACCATACCTTCTTCTGTCAGTGTGGTGTGTGTGATGTGTGCTGCCTGCCATCCTCCAGGAGACAACTGGTCCATCTTCACATGGCTCAGCAGAGACCACAAGAATTTCAAAACAGGATAAAAAACTTTATTATTTCAGTTCATGGTTTAGTGTGCCATGTCTGATCTCAAGCTGATGTCTTCAGATGACTAAAGACAGTTACACAGAGACACAGAGGCGAACCTGACCTATATCTGCTACCTTTAATAAGACCTGGTCTCTAACTGTGAGTCTTTGTCTGCTGCAGGGGGACACTCCTAAGAACAGAGCAGAGAAGGCTCAAGATGCTGAACTGGCAGCTTACCTGGAGAACAGGCAGCACTACCAGATGATCCAGAGAGAGGACCAGGAGACAGCTGTTTGACTCTGTCCCTCTGTGTGTGGGGGACGAGGATGAAGATGCTACTGTCTCTGACCGACAGCAGGCCAGTGATGCTAGGACATGGACTCATGAGAGTGAAGCTGAGCCATGATCTCAACATGCATTTAATGATGATTATGATTGTGATTAGAACAATGATGATGATGATGATGATGACAGTTTATGTTGATGAAGATGATGGTCATGAAATCATTTTGAACAGCTCAGTAATAAAACATGTTGGTGAAGGAAACAGAAACCGACTGAAGAGTAAATTCATCTCAAACACATTCAAACTGAATCACACAGCAGTGTTTCATCAGTCTGGATCACTGCTCACTGGATCACAATGTTAATGTCTTAGAGCCTGACGAGGCTAATGAGCCCTGACAAGCTTTTCTTTGGGGTGTGTTTCAGGTCCAATGGTTAAAGATGGTTAAAGGTGTGAGGTGAGAGGTCATTGACCTCTGAGTAGAAACTGAGTCCATCAGGGTTCATCTTCAGGGACCATGAACATGAATTAAGAACTATTGACATATCCTTTAATGGACACGATGGTGTTGAGTTCAGGGACCCTAAAATTAAAACAATTAATGAAGATGTTCTTATCACTGTATCTCACTGTGTTTAATGAAATCATTCTGATTTAAATGTTCATTTTCTTTACATTAAATCATATTGGATTCATATTTTTTTGTTAAATATATTAAAATATATTTTGTTTGTGCCAAACTTCAAAGTGTTGTAACATTTAAAGAGACAGTACACACATCATTATAGCAACAACCTACATCAAACTGACTGATGAAGGCAAATCATCATCATCCTCATCTGCTCAGGTAATGCAGTCTGTACAGACATGACATTGTGGCCAAGCTGTGGCGAATCAGACTCACCTGGTGATGCCAACTCAACACAGACATTCCTTCAATCATAAACTACAGCAAGCAGCAATGGACTAAACAGTGGAAACAGTATGAATAATAAAACCTGATGAGTCACTCTGAGAGACCTGGATCCTGTTAGAACCACATCGATGGGGCTGAAGAACCATGTTCCTCATGTTAACATCATGTCTTGAATAAACCAGGATAACAGGACCGGGACAGTAAACTGCATCAGGGGGTTTAGTTTGAGAGGATCAGGAAACTGTGAGCTCAACTCACAACTGTGATCAGGTGTGATTTTACATCAGACCTGAGTGACTTCCAGCTGGACGATCACTCAGATCTGATGTAAAATGAAACCTGCTCTGGTAAAAAGTGTCTGAACTGTCTTCAGATCAGATTTACATTGACAGTGACTCCATGTCCTGGCTCTCTCTGATGTACAGCAGTTAGGTCTTTTCTTTCTTTGATTTACACCTGTGGCCAATCTGATCTTCACTCTCATGTTTATGACAAACACGTTGATAGGACAGAAATACTTTCATTTTTTTCTATTTTCTTTCTTTCTTGTTATTCAGTTGTTGGATATTTGTATAATTTGTTGTTGAGATCAATATGAATATAATAAAAGATCAAGTGTGTCTGCAGGTGTTTTCATTGATATGGATCACACATTAGCATTTCATTATTCTGTTTCATCATTATAATAATTATATTATAAGGTGTTGACCTAACTCTGTAAAGTGCCTCGAGATAATGTCTGTTAAAATCTGGTGATATATATAAACAGATATAACTGATATAAAAGTGAATTAAATCGAATCCTACAAACTAAGTAATGTTGTTACAAAGCTGCCTCTAAGATTTAAAGGTCAGAGTTTAATATAAATATCACAACATTAATCCTGAAGCCTCAGGACAGACTGATACACCTCACTTTAAATCTCACATAATAATATACATAAATTTGTATTTACAGCGTTGCAGTGATTTGTTGATGGAGGTTTGACTGTTTGCGTTGAAGCTGTATCACCTCCAGTATGTGGGATATCTTTCATTGTGTTACACTGAGACATGTTTGTTTTTATTTCACTTCAGTTTTAGGAAAAACACCTCAATTCAACTTCAACATGATTAAATCCACAAAGGGCTCATGTAACTAAAGTATAAACTGTTCTCAGTGTTTCATACTGATGAACATTATTCATTCATCAGTGGCTGATTCAGCCTCTCTGATGGAAATGACATCAGAATTCATTGTTTAAAAACATGTTTAAGTATGACTGAACATGATCATAAGCCTTAGGTTGGTGTGTAAATACTTGTCTTTGAATATAACCTGTAGGTGGTTATATTGTACATTCATTCATTCAGTAATGAAAGAAGCTGTTGGTGAAGAATGTGGTCTGTGTGCGTGTGTGTGTGTGTGTGTGTGTGTGTGTGTGTGTGTGTGTGTGTGTGTGTGTTTGTGTCATCACACCTAGTGATGGGTCAGAACATCAACATTAACTGCTGCTATTTCAGTGGAAGATGGTCTTTATTAACAGAATATCATTGAGTTTCCAAATTTACTAATTCTACCAGCAGAAAGAATCCAGGTCGTCATCTCCTGCAGTAAGAAATGTTTTCTGGTTCCAGCCTCTGACTGGCTCTGATTTAGTCAGTGAAGGAAATGTAGTAAGTTAGCAGTTCAAGTGAAAATATAATGGTCATCATTCCGATGGTCAGTCTATTTCTGAAGCCAAGACTGAAGCTCACTCTCACTCTCTCTCTCTCTCTCTCTCTTTCTCTCTCTCTGAGGTCTGATGAAAACATCAGGTGAATACAGATGTTGTTTTCTTTGTATGCGTCTGAGTCTGAGAATCTGTGAAGAGCAGAGGTAATATGTTGTTATCAGAAAGTCACACTCATATTAGGATTTATGTTGGAAGTTTGATATGCATTGATTATAGTATGACTGCTATGGATTTGGTTGCAAAGCCCATTTTCTTGCTTTTTTTTTGGATTTTCTGAAAGACATATTTGTCAAGGGTGCAGCATCTACAGTGTTTTACCCAACACTGTACATCCCAACTTGGCCATTATTAACCCATCTTTGCTCAACTGCGCTCAGGTTTTGCTCTCTCCAAGTGCCTCAAGGGGTTATGGAAAGTCACTCTGTTTAGTTTTCTGTTATAGCAACAGACTTTACTGACAAGTCCTTCCTGATCACATTCAATTGCCCAAGGGCCACAACTTTCATTGATGACCCTGGACCACCAGATTGTGGACATGTGTATGTCCAGTCTCCATGTTAAGTGTAACAGTGGTGCTGTACCTGTCATCATTATCTTGATGGAAAACACAGCTCCATGTCTCTCCAACAGCTCCAACAGCAGTTATTGCTCCTGTGGTTATATGAGTCCTTCAAGATTCACCTGGACCAGTACAGGCAGGGACTCTATTTGTCCTCAGGTGACATAGTTACCATGCTCAACAGTTTTCATGTGTAAATTTTCTTTTTCACTTGGGTTGAGCGGCCTCACAGAGACCTTTCTGTCAGTTGTCAGCCTTGACTTTGGGGGTACCCTGCAATGTACCTCTATTACTACCTCACTGAGGCAAGGGACACTAAAGGTTTGCCTTTCTGCGACCTTAACATAACTGTCACTAGTTCAGCCAAAACCCATCAGAGATTAGCTTCTTCAGAGCTTGAGCTAATCTCTGATGGGTTTTGGCTCCTCATCCTTGAACAACCCTTTCAGTTCATGTTCATGCCTAAAAACCCCTATGACCACCTCATCCTCCTTATGGCTGCTCTTCAGCACAAACACACACGTGTCCTGCTGACTCTGACCCATATACTCAACATCTGCCTCCAACCATCCTGGTCTATAAGTATCTAAGACAGTTACAGCTGTCAGTCATACCCACTTAGCGAAGGATAGCATAGACTTCCTGCCCTCCAAACATTTCTTGAAGTGGGCCTCAGTGATGATAGTGACCTCACAGTCCAAGAGACAGCTTGTTGGCACCGCGGTAGTCAATACATAAACTATGAGACCTGTTCTCCTGCTCAAACCCAGCAGCTGATCAACTTCTGTGCTGCCACTCATTGTTCACACATTTCCACCATCATCACCATCAGGACCACTTCCCCTAGACACGTTTCAGGTTGTAGCCTTTGACTCCTGTCTCTTGTGGATACACCCTGGTTGTGTGTCCAGGCTGGATCTAATCAGCCAGCCATCACTGTTTGTCAGAGGTTATCTGTCATGGATCCCTGGTTCTCTCTTTCCATCTGATGCAGAGAGTCTCTTGACGCACTTCATCTTCTCTGAACTAACTATATCCTCACTCATCAGGAATTTGACTTTGCTCCCCCTTTAAGATGCTCGTTAAGTGTCTCCACTTGCTCCTCTTTTGGAGCTTTGGTGATTTCAAACATATGTCACCTTGAGATGCACCTCCACTGAAATCAGGTATTTGGTTTCTCTTGGTATATAAACAACACTGTGCCCTGTGACTAATGACATTCTGATCAATACCAGTCTTTGCCAGGGGAAGTGCCTCTCTTTGGTCCTCTCTGGCCTGAATCAACAGGGATGATTGCAAATTATTTCCTCTAAATGAACTTGAATTATTCTATGAATTATTAATATCCTCCACAAACAACACAGTCCCAAAGTTAAGGTCTGTTCACTGAGAAAACAGATATTATTCTTTTAACATTAGTCCCTTATTCCCTTAAGCTGTGAAGCTTTAGAAGCTAATATTGTTTCAGTTACAAGAACTGTTTATCCAGCCAACAGTAATAGATTACTTTAAAGATGAAAACAATGTTTTAATAATTGTCTTTGTGAGGGCCCTCCCCAATAACGTAGTTCTACTGTTCCCCTCACCACCATGTCCCTGTGTGCAGCTACTTAATGATGTATGTCCCTTAGTCTCTGGATCCATATGACTGTGTATTAAATTGAAAACAAGCCCATGAACAGTAGACCTTTAAAATATTCTGCAGCCTCTCTGCTTTTTCATTTTTCTGACAGTAGAAACAGATGGAAACAGATAGAAACAGATAGAAACAGAAAGAAACAGATTGAAACAGAAAGAAACAGATGGAAACAGATAGAAACAATAGAAACGGATGGAAACTGATAGAAACAGATGGAAACAGAGAAACATGGAAACGGACAGAAACAGATGGAGACAGATGGAGACAGATAGAAATAGATAGAAACAGATGGAAACAGTAGAAACAGATGGAAACAGATAGAAATAGATGGAAACAGATAGAAACAGATAAAGACAGATGGAAACAGAGAAACATGGAAACAGATGGAAACAGATGGAGACAGACGGAAACAGATAGAAACTGATGGAAACAGTAGAAACAGATAGAAACACTAGACAAAGTAGAAACAGATGGTCTAAATACCACTTGCCATGAATAGCAATAGATTTCCTATTGAGCTGATTCAGGATGGTGTGCCTTCTGTTGTCCACACTACACACCCAATCAGGATGATATTTCAGCCGTTCCATCCAGATCAAATGTATTGATCACTTTGTGTAGTTGTCAGTTCTTCATGAGCAGCTGCATTGTTTTCTGGGAACTAAGGGCCTGTATTGGTTTTATTTTCCTTCCCTTCATTGATTGCTGTGGAACTGCCGTCCTCTGAGTAGTATTACGCTTGATACACTACACTGGACCAGTCCTAGTACAGGTCTCTCTCTGTGTCAGGAACTACTTTGAGAAAAATGTCCAGTGTTGTTTCTAAACTAATCACCACTCAGGGTGGAGGTTTTAGAAATGGGACATTGTAAAATGCCACTTTAACTACAGGCGCTTTCCATCCACACTGGGCTCGATCAATCACAACAATCAATGGCTGTTTGAATGGGTCAAGTACATAACTCTGACATTTCCTCTCTCATAATTACCCCCTGAACAAAGTGTATAAATAACAATTTACCAGAGAACACTGAGAAGAAGTAAATGCAGGGTGCAGACTCTGATTTATGGATCCTTCTGTATTTAAGGGTAATACAAGAGGGTTCATGTCTTTGTTGTCCAACATATCTGAAGAATGAACATTTCAAGATGTTAGATTGTCCTTTCAGCTGAAGTGTCTGGCCAGACAGTGTGTTATTTAAGTTATAACAGCAGTAGTTTACAGACCAACAGAAGTTCTCATTTCTACTGGCAGACTTTAAACACAACAGCCTACAATCTGTAAATATAGAATAAAAGTAGAATAGAACTAGAGTTAAAGGAAGATACACACAGTTAAACAATAAACTGTTTAAACCTCAGCAGGAGAAATCTGAACCCTGCAGTAACCCCAACAACACATGGATGAAAAACAAACAGCAGCAGCCCACAAACACACACACACACATTAAAATAAAGTTACACACCATACACTGCAGACACACACCTGCTATTTTAGCAGGAAAAGCTCCATCACCTCATCACAAGACTTTATCATGAGTCAAATACTCACATTAGTCCTGAAAGTGATAGGACAGAGTTTATTTGTTTTTGTGAACAGCCTCGCTGCAGGATGGGTGGAGTTTGACTCACACGTTACATTATGGATGACTTTTCCTAGGTTTTAGGCGGAAAGAAGTTCTCATTATTTCAGCAGGTGTTTCCAGCTTGGTGGATGTAAACCCACCCGAGTTGTGTCGTTCAGAACAAAAGCGAAGGGCTGTGGGATGGATATATATTTATGTAACATCTGTCTACAATATAAGCATATATACATGTATAGAATTGTTAAGATATCATATATAATTTTTTACATATATGTACATATATAATAAAAATGTATATTTCATATATGGAAATTCAATATATGTAAATATATATTACATTTGCATATTGGACAGTATAGACATCAGTGATGGAATGAACAGGTCCAGGTTCATTGACAAGAAACAATATGTTGCTGCGTTCACTCTGTGAAATCTCTATTCATTTTCTCATTGACAGGAACAAGCTGAGTCCTGATGAATAATGAAGGAGTTGGTTCAGAGGTTGTTTTGGTGTCTTTGATCAGGAGTTTGACTCTGCCAACTAGTCTTACACTCATTACAAAGCTTAATCAGACCATATTATCTACAGGAAAAACAGTTACACACAGTCTGTAAACTGGTGGTTCTTTTATGGGCACTGCAAGCTTATTTATGACTCATGTCACCTTTTTTCTTTTAGTTGGGTTTCAGTGATTTGTATTTTGGTGTGGTCCAGCAGCTTTAGAGTGACGTTGGTAGTTTTATCTGAGTTGAAGAACCTAAATAACCAGAAGAACTTTTCTGGTACATTGCAGATTGTTATTTTTTGTCGCTTTGTCTTTGTCCCTTGATGTGGACCAACTCCACATTATGGGCGTAAGATGGAAGCAGATACATGAATTGATTCAGTCTAGCCTGATAATACGAGCTACATGATGATCAAAAGAAACAACAACAACTGAACAGGGATTCTCCCTGCTGGGGGGTGGTTGTGGTGGGGGTGGGGCTTTTATCACCCACTGATTTGGATCTATAGAAACAACAAATTCAAATTCAACAAATAAAAGTAAAGTTAAAATGTGATGAAGAGGAACGTTTCAGCAGTGACCTGAAGGCCTGTAGCTTGGCCTGTAGCTTCTCTGTGTGTGTGTGTGTGTGTGTGTGTGTGTGTGTGTGTGTGGGTTAATGGTGTCTTTGGGGGCGTGGGGTGCATGGGGCTAATGTAACCAGACTGAACTGGTTTGGGAGACAAAGCAGGGGCAGGAGGAGGAGCAGTAAACTTTTCCTGAGTCTCCACTGAGCCACCAGCCTGTAAACAAGTAAGTGCTCTTTACACTTCAGCTCAGTCTTTACATGCAGCTGTCTGATTGTTTAAAATGAAACAGAAACATGAGTTTGTTCCACTCTGTAGTTCATTCTGATTTCATAGAACTAACACTGAGAACTACATGATATTAAAAAAAAGTTTGCTACCAGCTCCTGAAATTGTTATATTACATAATTTGTGGTTTTGATAGAGTCTCCACTGAGAAAATTAGACTCATAATTACTGCGTGTTCAGAATTAGGTGTTAACATGTATAAAAAACTTGCTCTGGCTGTTTCTCTAACCCGTTGTGTTTGGTGCTCTTCATCTGCCCGCTGGGTTTCATTAGTCTTTATGTAATTGTCCCATTTTCTGAGCCAGATCCAGCCCCTACATACACAATATACCACTGTGTGTGTGTGTGTGTGTGTGTGTGTGTGTGTGTGTGTGTCTGTGTGTGTGCAGGAACTAGCAGTTATTGTAGAGTATTTCAGGGTTAGATTAAAAATGTTAGTAATACATGTTTTGGCTTCTTGCTGATACAAGTAACTCTATTGTGTTGTTCTTGTAACATTACATGTGTGTGTATGTGTGTGTGTGTGTGTGTGTGTTTGTAGTGGGGGTTGTAGGGTTGAGAGAATTATATATTATTAGTTTGGCTGTTTAACTCACAGCAGAACAAACTGCAGAGCGGAGAAGAAGAAGAAGATGAGTTTCAATGAATCTTCACTCTATGAACAGTTACAGCTCTCAGAGTGAAGATTTATGACCAGTCAACTCATTCATCTTCAACCAGCTCTTTATTGGATACACAGTTATAATTATATAGTCTATTTTTATGAAGTCTATGTGTATTATGTATTATGTCATCATCATCATCATCATCATCATCATCAACAATCCTTCCACTGTCTCAGCAGAGTCTTAACTGTCTTTATTCACTCACACAACTTGATTCAACTTTTTTATCTTTTAAATCACAGCCAATTAAACTTAGTTTTTACACAGATTTTTCACATTAAGAGGCTTTTAAAAGCCCACATTAAAAGCCTTTTTGGATTGCTTTTAATGTGAAAATCTGCAAGGAGCGTTGCCTCATGGCTGACTCATGGTGGTTCAGGGTGACTGTGGAGGAGAAGGATTCTGAGCTTCCACATCAGAGAGAAGTGACTGGTGACCCATTGTTATTGGAGATGACCTCAGTCCACTTTGGTCCACATTGACATGATTGTGGTCTCAGCTGTTATTCAGTCCAGTTTGGTCCAGACTGACATGAGTCCAGTTTAGTCCAGTTAGTCCAGGTGTGGTCTCAACTTTAACTGGACTACAGTCTCAGTGGATGAACCTCAGTCCAGTTTGGTCCATACTGTAATGATTGTGGTCTCAGCTGTTACTGTACTACAGTCCCAGGTGATGAACCTCAGTCCAGTTTGGTCCAGACTGACATAAGTCCAGTTTAGTCCACTCTGTCACGTTGTGGTCTCAGTTGTAACTGTACTACAGTCTCAGTGGATGAACTTCAGTCCAGTTTGATCCATACAAACATGCATCCATTTAGTCCAGTCAGTCTAGTCAGTCCAGTTGTGGTCTCAGCTGTAACTGGACTACAGTCACAGGTGATGAATCTCAGTCCAGTTTGGTCCAGACTGTCATGATTGTGGTCTCAGCTGTTACTGGACCACAGTCCAGGTGATGAACCTCAGTCCAGTTTGGTCCAGACTTACATGATTGTGGTCTCGGCTGTAACTGGACTAAAGTCCCAGGTGATGAACCTTAGTTCAGTTTTGTCCATGCTGTCATGATTGTGGTCTCAGCTATTACTGGATATGCTCTGCTCTGGGTTGTAGTGAAGTTATGCAATGACACAAAACAAAAACATGCCTGAAACATGTCCTCTGTAAACAGGTTGTTATTTTGTTATTTACTGATGACACCAAGGTATGTGTTTGTGTGTTTGCAGTCTCTCCCTAACTATCCTCCTCATTCTCTCCTGTCTGTCCAGCTCTCTGGTGTAGTTAGTAGGTCATACAAGGACCAATACAAAGTAATTTCCGCTCAGCTGCTTTTCAAAATTCCTAATTACAGAGTCAACAGCGAGACACACACACACACACACACACACACACACACACACACACACACACACACACACACACACACACACACATACGCTCTCACCAGCTCTTCAGCCCAAGCCCTGATCCCCAGCCTCCCTGACTTGTAATAAGTTGGACAGGATCCAGACTCAAACTTGGTGTCTGGGGAGAAAATAGGTCTTTTTCAAAACTCAGATTAAAGCTCATCTTTTCATATTAAAACATGAGCATGCCACAGAAAGTCCTATTTTCATCCTTTCATTATGAGGCGTATGTTTGCTTCAGTGAGGAACCAGACTCTTTCGCCTGTCTGATAAGAACAGGTGAAACAAACTCCACAGGAAACAGGATTAGTATGACTCTGCAACATGAAAGAATCAGGTGGGCCCCACGGCCCCCATGTCACCTCTTTGGTATTCTCCTACATATGGGCAGGAGGGAACAGGAAGTGAACAGGAAATGTGGAGGGCAGTTTGTCATCCAGTCCTCCAGTGACTGTGTAACAGTATTCATGTTTATATAACTGTCAGTTTGGTAACAGGTGAGAGTCAGGGCCAACTCTGTCAGTGGCTAAGTTCAGGATCTGGAGACAGTATGTACCAGTTTAGATTGAGTATGTAACTGTTCATTTTAGTTAAAGCACCACATCAACACGGAACATGCACTCACTGTATTTACAGCAGGACACTCTAACTGTGTTTCCTGCTCTGCCCACTGGGGTCATTGTTCTTTGTATCAGTGACCGTAAATACAGTGAGTGCATGATCCGTGTTCATGTGGTGCTGTAATTAAAATGAACAGTTACATACTGAGTCTGCACTGGTACATACTGTCTGACAGATGGCTCTTTTTCTGTTGTTCTTTGAAGAAAAAAGAAAAAAGAATATTTTACAACATCATCCTTTTGAGAAATACAGACAAACTAATATTTTAGAAACTGTTGGAACTTCAATATAAATCCAGGATTTTAACAACATGCTTGAATATGAGTATGAAGCTGTTAATATTAACATTTATATATTATTATTCTAATTATTATTATTCAGTTTATGCTTTATGTCCATATTCAGAACCAAAACTACATTGTCCATGATTTTTGATCCACATGTATTTGTCCTGAGGTACAGTAAATCTAAAGGAGACGACAGAGTAAAAGAGTCAACTGGCCATTGGTTATATCCAGATTTAATCTCTGTAATGCAGGATGGGGGGTACAGTCAGTGAATAAGCATTTGTTCCTGTCCCTGACACACTTATTCCACCGGAAATAACCGTTCGTCCCGTCCTGACCTGGAGGAATCTCTTCTTTGTCTGCTCTCATGTTGAGGAAGTCAGAGTGGTTTGAGGACTGGTGTTTTTTTGCTGTTGTTTGTGCTGTGTCTTATGACAGATGGACCTGGAGGCTCTGACAGAGATATTTAGAGCAGAGAGAAGAAAGTCTCTCCAGGGAGTTCAGAGTTTTTCTATCTGATGACCAGGGACATTCTCTGTGGTAGATCCAGTCTCTCAGTCACTGCAGCAGCGTCATACACACAAATATTTATAATCAGTCCCACATTATTATATTTTATCCTTGGACTAAAGAACCTACAGTATTTATATGAAGTATTTTACCAACCTATATTATTATTTATTCAGAGTTTAACACAACAACTCAGCAGCTCTTTTTAAAATTATGCTGTCATGTGACATCATGATCTCCGCCACCCCAAACCAGTGAGAAAAACCAATATACAAAACCTCACGTGCAGAAAAGGATCCACAGCATTCAAATGACAGATATTTTCTACACAGTTAAACAGCAGCAGCAAATAGTTTTGTAGAAACATCACTGCTCATGTTTTCTATTAATATAATGAGGACATGTTTTTAATTTATGTTGTAAATACATTGATACTGATCGGATCAGTAAAATGTTCACAGACACCTGGTCTCTGAATGTGAACTGGTCTCTGGATGTGAACCTGGTCTCTGGTCTGATAGTCCTCCTCCTCCTCCCGGTGTCTCTCCAGTTTCATTCACTCTAAAACTACTGACACTGATTTTATCATTAAATGAAATAAAACTAAATACAGCAACATCCACATTAAAATATAAAATCATGGTTCTGAGACAGTTCTGGATCAGGGTTTCAGTGGCTCACTGATTGTCCTTCAGTTGTTGATTGTGTAAGGGCCTCTGAGTTGACTGTTGCTGACCTCTGACCTTTAACAAACCTCTGGTCATCCCTCAACACTGAATCATCAATGTTGACCTTTGACCTTCACTCTTTTGTTTCTGCCACTGAAAACAAAAGACAGTGCATCATTTCTCTTCAGCCTGATGAAATAATGAAATATGAAAAATGCCCTGGCTGATCAAGGTGCTGCTGCTGCTGCTGATGGTTTATCACCATAAATAATTTTGACTCCTCTTGCTGCTGCTTCAGCTGATCCTGGAGAAGCTCCAAGTGATTTCCTCATGGGAAGCTGCCGCACAGCTTTTCAGCTCTAGTCCCTGGACAGGCCATTAGAGCAGCAGTGCATAATTGCAGCCTGGTTGGTGTGTGAAACATCCACTTCACCATGCTCCACCAGCTCAGCTGGCTCTGTGTATTACTAACTTAGAGAAGAGAAGCTGAGGTAACAAGTACAACATTTAGTTTGAGTTGCTCATAGGGACACTGACACTGTACACTGTAGGTGAACCTTAGTAACCATCTTTGTTTATTTATAAAATATGATCCAATCTTCATCTAAGTTACAATGATGAACACAATCTGTTTTCATTAATTACACAAATCATTGTGGTGTTTTTGTTCTAACATTCACTGTGTAGCTGAAACAGTGTATGAACCTCTCAGCTAATGACACGAAGAAGCTCATAGTAACAGCTGAAGGGTAAAAAAGAGTCATTGTAGCTGTTTCACATCTCTGTTC